AGTACGCCGATGAGACGAAGAAGCCAAAATCCCAGCCCGTGTACGACACGTACGCGGCTGCTAGCGTATCCAAGACAATGAAAGATCCATCCCCTATATCCGCCGATCTTGTTGGAAAGTTTTTGGATTCCTGGAGGAAGACGGGTTTCTTACCGCCTGCCCGTGCTGACGGTGTGGCCAGGAAATGAACGGATCCGGATGCTCTGGGTATATGCGCTTGGTATAGAGTGACAATCCCCTCTCATGGGGCGTTGACGGGGTTGTTATCGATAGCACCTTTAGCTCCTCGATCCAATCCATCCAACAAGGCCATTTGGGCATCGGTTAATTCGAAATCGAATAGATCCGCGTCTGCGTCTATCCGGAAGGGCGTGTCTGACTTCGGTAAAGGCACAAACCTGAGAAGACTTTAGTTGCTGCATCAGATATGCGGATGACTGCCTACCCTTTTTGCAGACTCCAGCGAAGGAGGATCTGTGCTGGGTCTTTCAACGTGGAATACACGAGCTCGGTCAAGGTGGGATCGTCGAATTTTGTTCCTCGAGTTAGGGGACAATATGCCTAGGTCCGTCTTCAGCTGCGCACATCTCTTGACCTGGAAATGCACTCACCTCGACCGTAATTCCATTCTTTTTGCAGTAGTTGACTATGTCTTTTTGCTGGCACCACGGATGCAGCTGATCAAGGTCAGCGCGATGCTGAAGCCCTCGAAGAGAATGGCGTACCTCTATCTGATTCACCGCCGGTTTTGTCGAGGATGCAGCCGCAAGTTCTTCGAGATGCTTGACACCGCTGGATGAGAGAATGGATTCCGTAAGATCGTCCCTGCGCCCGAGGAAGAACACGCACAAATTGGACACTCCGATAGCTCTTGTCTTGCCGCTCTTTTTGAGCATCTCCAACGCCTTCCACATCTTCAGTCGCGCCTCCGGTCCGGACGTTGGTGTATGGATCAGGAACAGGTCGACATAATCTGGCAGCTGTTACTTCAGCAATGAAGGGGTCGGTTGCAGTAATCGATATACGGACCTAGGCCAAAGCGGCGAACCGCTTCGTTCAACAAGTCCCACAACTTCTCTCCCGAGGGATCATTGGCAGGCGGCGCAAGTATCTTCGTGGTCACGAATATCTGGTCTCGCGGTATCCCCGAGGCTTTGATCGCTGTTCCCACTTGCGGCTCGTTCTCATAATACAACGCGGAATCGATATGCCTTCAGCGCGACGGCATGTCAGTTCTTATGCATGCCTTACCCGACCAGCGGCGGGGAAGGACAGGATGCTCACCTGAATCCGGCATGGAGGAGGGCATGCTTCACACTTCTTTCGCAGATAGACGTGGGGGAGGCATAGACTCCGAAGCCTAGCTGCGGCATATGCACGCCAGGGGCGATCTCGACCGTTTTCTGGAGTGTAAGGGCCATGGAGGTAGTCGGGTGTGGAAGATGGAGGGACGTGAAGCGGCGCGGTGAACAGTTCCCCTTCCCTTTGACGCTTATTCTTGAACGCCTCACGCGCATCTCCTATCTCTGCGCAAGACAGTTCATAGCCAATCCCAATTGTCGATGCATGGGGACGACGCCGTGCCCCCAAAGGGTCAACGGGGTTGTCTTGATCGAACGGTGGACGGTTGTGCACGGGTTTCCGTGGAACATTCGATTTTCTGTTCGGAAGTCTGCAGTCTGATAAGTTAGGTCAGAGCGGAAGCATCCGATCGAGTTCTGTCTGTGCATTTACTCGTGCTGTCGCTTGTACGGCCACATGTCCGAGGGAAACGAGCCTGCCAGAGCGGATATAGGGACAGCGAAACCTGCAAGATAGACAGCCGAAAGAGGAATACAATCATGCAACCCGTGGTGTTGCATGAGGGCTATCTCACAGTGCCACAGCAGATCCCTAAGACCCTGATCTAGACGGAGAAATTATGGACCTCACAGCCGGAGACTTCCCAATTGCGCTACCGCAATGCCAGAGAACGGAACCAGAAGTCCGATCATCTTCTTACCAAAGGATAGCGATACCCCTTTGATGGACTCAGCTCCCTTTCTCATGTTCTGGTGTCGTAAAATACCGCCAACTACGTCAAAGCACCCTTTTCTAACCTTCGCTTGACAATAGTAGTGAGCGAGACATTGTGGAATCAATTAGCGACATTAATGCTGCATTATGACTGCCCGCTCGGACAGAGGAACGTACAAAACAAGGTACACAATACAAACGTCTGAAAGACTCTACGAAGGCCTAGAAATAAAACAATACAACGGAACGGGCATTACATTGCTAACCGCGTCCACTCACAATCAGGAACTTCCCAGCTTACACATACAATCGGTGCCCGACCCACCCGAAAAGGCCGTGCCTGCCTCGCTCAGAACCCTTCATTCTTCAGCTTCTCAGGCAGAAACAGTGTCACAATCGCAGAGAGCACCGCAGCTCCGCCGGCGAGGTAAAGTACCCCGTCCACACTCGTCGCCAGCAGCCGTGTTGCTATAAGCGGGGCTATAATAGATGAGAGTCTCCCCCAGGTGCTCGCGATACCGCAAGCGGAGCCTCGGACGGCGGCAGGGAAGGCTTCGGGAGTGTAGCCATACAGAATGGCGTTGAACCTGGTACGCCGTTAGCGGACATCACGAGAAGATGGTATAGACGAGACTGGTGACGTACATTGACTGGAAGAAATATTCCATTGCATTAAACCCGACGTTTGCCGTCGGAGAGTCCTAGTCCACCAGTTCTCGTCAGGCGACTGCCTTGCCGACGCCAAAGGTCACTCACGATATACACGAAAGCGAACAGTGACGCCGCCATTAAACTAGCCGAAATGGTCATCGACCACGTCTTGCCTAGCGTCTTGGTCTGAATAACAAACGCACCCAGCACGACAGCCAAGATTCCGGGTGCGTAGATAATTATGCTGTACAGCGCTTTAGTTAACTGCCAGAAAGTCTGTTTCGATCGCCGTACTAGTTTCGATAGGTAATATCCACCGACTGCCCGGCAGCCACGCCCTTCCTCCTCAAAATGTCCGGTAAGAACCCGCCAGCTATACCAACGTCAATACATTGATCGCCGGCGAATGGGGAGCAAGAGCACTCACCTATAGAGAAAGCGGCATAATCAAAAATGAAAGTGGCCCAAATCGCAAGCGACAAGCGAGCCATATACGGCGTCTCGAAGAACACCTTGAACTGACTCGCCATAGCGGTCAATGTCTTCGGCTCGCCCGACCTGATAGAGGACTCGGAAATATCATCGCCTAGTACATTGTCAGGCTCCTGGCCCTCGCAAAACTTCGAAGACGGGAAACCGACCATCAAGCGCATATAGGTCTTCAACCGTTAGCGAACAAGGCTGGCGGTTCACCCTGGCAATGTGGTGGATTACGTCGACGGCTTCCTGCTCGCGACCTTGGAGAAGAAGAAATTTAGGGCTTTCCTAGTACATGCATATAACCGGGTCCAATCAGTGTCTTATCATAATATATGCGCATTAATACGCTCACCTGGAAGTTGAAAACCACAAATCTGAGGAAGAAACAAAACAACGTGATGGCGCCAATCGTATTTCTGGCAAACACGTCGGATGAGCTGGACATCTGAAACGTCCTCCAGTCACTCACGTAGTAAGTCGCCACCCAAGGTTATCCCTCCTGGCGCAGCACTGTTCGCCTGGAGTAGTGATACTGCAGGACTTCAATCCAGGTGCGCAACTGTTAGGTGGAATGAATCCCCATGCTACGACGGAGCATATAACAACCCCCAGCGGTTGAAAGAGCGACAAGGCAGCCAGGAGAAACTTGTGGCCCTGAAGAGATCTATTTCAACAAAGCTAACGGGGAGGACTGAGGATGAACCAACATGCGGGAGGAATTCGTGCACGATGCTCGCATCGGTTGGTATGTTGCCGCCGATCCCGAAGCCTGTAAAGACGGAGAGGAAACATAGCCATGGCCAACTGGGCGCTGACCCTAAGAGGAGCCCCCAGAAGCCGGTGAGGAGTACGGTGAGGTTGAAAGCCCACTTGCGGCCGAACTGGTCAGAATAAGCTTTAGCCTAGACACTGGCAAAACCCTCAAAGTCACCCACCATGTCACCGATGATACCCCAGCTGAACGCGCCTATGGTGAGACCGACGTTGAACGCCGTAAGAAGCGTGCCAAACTGCGAGTCTGAGAATAGATTCGCGTGAGATCGCTGGAAGCTCGCTGGACTGGGACTACTGACCTGGAATCCCGAATTCTTGCTGTGCGGAGCTGACGATGAGCCCGAAGGCTTGCGCCCACATTAAATCGAGTGCGTAGCCGTACCCGCATAACTGCGAAGTCGAGTAAGCGCCGGCCTTCCTCTCCATAGGAGCTGCATCCGAAAGCCTACAAAGAATATATACCACTAATGACAAGTGTCAGTACTTTTGCTGCATTGCTGTGATCTCCTGAAGGGACCTCCGGCACTGACAGAATATCTTCCCATCCCCATCGTATCAATAGTGGTTGTTAATAGAAGAGTCTTCTTGTCTATTGTAGACAGTCTCTTGAACCCAGACTGAGTAACATACGCGTGTCCGCCGTTCTCCTGATCATTCGCGGACGGAGGTAAAAGCGGTTGGAGGGCAGGGTCGTCGCCGGCGACTTTCTTATCGTCGTCCTCTGATGTACGGCTCATCGTTGGCAAGCACGTCGGGCAAATGCACAAGATCCGTGAGGAGCCGTGGTGACTGTAGACTGCAGTCGGGCGAAGCGTGTCACTCTGTGGCTATCGGTACGCGCAAGAAGGGGATCAGGAGAGCTGTAGAAAGCAGAGCCGATGTCGCCAGCAACGTTACCCATCGCGGTGATACGCATCGGCTTCATTCGTCATCGCACGAGCCATCTGGCATTTGACTGCCTTGGTGTCAAAAGGGGAAGTGTCATATCCTAAAGCGTTTCCGCGTGTGACGTTCATCTAATCGGTGCCTCAAATTCGGCTTGAATTTGATATTTATATTTATGGTAAATTAAGTATTATGGACCGATGGTGTAGTTGGTTATCACGTCTGTCTAACACCTGAAGGTGCACAGACGGTCCTCAGTTCAAGTCTGGGTCGGTTCATTTTTCCGCAACATGGACCTTTTTCTCCCAGCAGCAAGTGGCGAAATCTGCACACGAAATCGTGTAATCGTATGACGAAGGCTCGGGACCGCGAACACTCTGAGACAAGCGACCTGAAGACATTAGATCTCTATGATGGTCATCTGATGCGAAACTACAACAAGAGGCCACAGCCCGTCCGTGCTCCTGTCTTCCCCGTCCCAATTCTTTCGCCTCAACGCGAAGGTCATGTCTATCGCCACTTCCCCTTCACCGGTGCGTCTTTCCTGTGTCCCACAATAGCTCAGCTTTGTATCGCACGCAATGAGCACTATGTCGCCACCATCACTCTCGCCGCCAGATTCCATCCTGATGCAGGTGGTATCATATGACATATCGACAGCGTTATCATCTGCTATGAACTTATACGAGTCGTGCAGATATAGCAGGGTGCTGATGATGTCGAGCCGGGACGTATGGAGGTTGGCCAGGGAATTCGGACCTGACAAAGAATTAAGGAGCTGCGTAATGAAGTGAGGATAGGGTGCTCACCTAATGGATCTCTCGAACCTTCTACAGGAGCAAACGGAGGATATTTGCTGGGAGTGTGCTGCGACGAAGAATGGACTCGGTAGGAGAACATCGCGTTACCCGCGTACGCGCTTGCGAGCGCCGACCTGTCCGTATCGAACAAGCGTACATACCTGAGAGAATACGGAAACAGTAAGTCCGACCAACTCAGTCCAAGAGGAAGGTCGAGGACGTACCGAGTGATGAATTCCTCCGCAAGATGCAATATTTCCAGAGGCAGGTCTCCGACAGTCCCTTTGGCCCTGGCCGAGTCAGCATCCGACATCGGCGTCTCTGGACTTGTCGAAACCTCCCCTGCACTAGATTCAGACATCATAGAAGTCGAAGCTACCTCGCGTAGCGCGACCAACAAAGAACATGAGCCCCCTATGTCAGACAAGTCAGTACTGCGGGATGAAGCGACTGCGGATGGAGCATGGGAGGTTGGTTCGTGGATGAGAAGATTCGCATCCCCTGGCGACCTCTCTCGATCCGTCTGCTTGCTAGTAGGGCTGCACACTTGTTCAGATGCACCATCATCATGTGCGTTTCTCGAGCGGACGTCACTCGACTTGGAGCGACTATTCGATCCAGTCAGTTCAGTTACTACTGGTTCCAGACAGGTCATGGCAGGGACAGGATTGTTCTCGATTTCCAAGATATCTTCCCGAGATGCATTGCCCAAAGGGAGCCCTTGCGGCACCGTAGATGGCAAGTTGTTGGATCCATCCGTCAACTCTGCAACCGTAGAGTCAGCAGCGGTCTCAGAGGTCGGTGGTGCCGCTTGTGGTCCGAGCATGGATACCGAGTCCTGGACGGTGGGTTCCGATACGAACGGACCTGATTCAGCAGTATCGTTCAAATCTTGGGCCCCGAGGGTATGCATCGATGCCGAAGCAATTGTGATAACGGATGGATCTTCGGGAGCATGCTCTGCTGGCTGACTGGCCTGGCCTATCGGTGGTTCCGTCACATTTTGCACAGACTCCTGAACTTCCGGAGGGCTCTCAGCCTAAGCAACGTGAGCTAAGTCGACTGAGTATCGCATTCTGCTCGCAACTCACTTTACTCCCCGATCGTGCAACATCTTGCATCTTGGCCGTCTCTACCTGCCGACTCCCCTCCACAGCTTCTTCCTCCGAGTCGTCAATCACAATCACCCGCTTCCTCGCTCTTACTACAGCGTGCAACTGTCCCAAAGACATCCGCGATCGTGATCGGCCTTGCGTGTCCGATCCGCCCGGGACAGAAGGTGTCTGGGACAGCGTGAATGGGCTTGACGAAGTGCCGGACGGTGCAGGCGACGGTAAAGCACCAGAGGAGCGAGGGAGGTGAAGACGATGCGGCGCATGTTGCGGAGGTGGAGAGAAGGAGGATTCGCGCGGTTGAGGAGGTCGGGAAGATGAGGCGTGAGGTTGCGGATCAGCAGGTGCTGGAGATGTGAGGTCGTGTAGATGTGGTTGGGTTGTCAAAGGCATCGGCTCATCCGGGTCGCGTGAAGACTGAGGTTCAGGTGTGGCTGGGAGGAGGGTATCCGAGTATACAGGCATAGAACTTGTCCTAAAGAATATGATGGGCATCGAAATGTACAACAGCTACAAGATGGACGTCGCCGGCGCAAACGCGTGGTAGCAATGATACAAATACTCACCAGTCTATAATCAACCCGTCATCCCTTCTCCGTTCAGCATCATCAGCGTCGTGCACACAACACTTATGACATACCTGAAGAGCACCCTTGGGCATTCAATGTGCTTGCCTTTCTTGACCTTCGAGACCTCGCTTTTAGCCCAGGCTTTCCTATTCTGATTCCAATTCTTCACTCTCTTCGAACACCACTCTGGGATCGGATGCACTCGTATTGACCCCGAGGTAACCAGTGGTCTCTCGCACTGTGCAGACATGGGGTCGTCCACAGCGAGATCAGAAGGACCGAACAGAGGGTCAGGGTCGCTTTTGATGGCCACCGAGGCTTCCTGCGGAGCAGGCGTCGGAGCTGGAGGAGGGGAGGGTACCCGGGAGAGGACGTCGGAATTCCCTGGTTCCAGTTTCACATGTGTAGACGCCTGTGGTTGTAGCGGGATTGGAGGTACTACTTGAAGTGCTGGCTCTTCTTTCACTCTTATTGAGTGCGGCGACGGTGGTAGAGACCGCGAGGCAGGAGGAACTGGGACGAGGTCGGTCGTCTCTTCTTTTACTAGTGTTGAGGATGTTGCCGATGACGGTAAGGCAGATGCTCCATAATTGCCAAAGTTAGAGGCTAACTTGCGTCTCTTGGCTGCTTCGGCACGAATCAGCTCGAGAGAAGCTTTTCGTTTGGCTGCTTTCTCCTCCTCCGAGAGTCCACTCGGCGAGGTATAAAGACTCGTGGCTGTTAGGCTCGGGGTTGTCTCAGGCGTAAATGGTGGATACACAAGTTGGGGAGAAATCTCCCTCGCCCCGTTGTCGTCAGCAGAAGGTGATGCTTCCAAGTTAGAAGTAGATCCCGAGACTGTGACCTGATGAGCGCTTGGGGTGGCAATAGACTGCAGATTCGTTGTCGGCTTAGGAGGGCTTCGACTGGGACTATGACTGGACTGAGAAGCCGGAGGCGTAGGAGGCCTACGAGATAGTGTATTTTGCGATAGCCATACCTCTCCTATGGTCATAAGCCGTTCCCCGTTTTGACTACTTGGCGGACTCATCGGTGCGCTAGGAGTACCCGTCTGTGCACTATACGCAGCCGCAGCCATCGACGGGAGTCTCGTGTTTGCAGTGGAAGACGGTGCAAAACCTCGCCCTCTCCCTCGTGGACTCGGGCTCGCACCTCTTCCTCTTCCCCTCGGACCCGCGTCTCTCCCTCGCTCACTAGGGCTTGCGCCCCTGCCTCTTGCTCTCCCCCTCATGGCCCAGCCGTTATCCCGCTGCCTCACTGGTGCATTAGACATTATCTGGGGTACTCCAGCTCGCTTATTGAGAACTTCACTGGGCTGCGCATCCTCCGAGTGAGATGCAACGCTAGCCGGCCTAGGCTGGGGTTGTCTCCCACCACGGGAAGGATAGAATGGTCGGTGAGACATGTTGGCTAGCAAATGCAAGCAGAACAGGTGGACGATAGAAGATGGATTTAGCCCGAGTGTTCCACCCGCGATTCCCTGACCCCAGTACTCGTCAACAGCTGACTGCTTCCACGAAAAGCCTGCTTGCTGGAATACAATCACCCTCGGATGCAACAGAATTTGACGAACAGGTTTGGCCTAATGGCAGGATAGATGCATGTCCGTGGTAAGTAAATAGCTTCGCAAGGGCTCGCATGCGCTAAGATGGTATTTACTCTTATTTGGACCTGTGGATTCGTATATATGGGTGCAACGTTCCCGAGTCCATATAATAACTATGGTACTGTGAACGCGAAACCTTCATACCACCAGGGAGCCTAGAAATGCGTCCAGAAGAAATGGATGGACTAGGTTGACTTTCTAGAGCAACGCTGCACGAACAAACCTTCGGGAAGTTAGTAGGCAATATTAGATGCAAGGAGATTCAAGGGCGCACCATATGTGCATGCCTGCGCAGCAGCTACCACAGCGGCTCTCCGAAGGCTGGCCACGGGATGTAATGAGCGAAGCCGCGCGAAAAGGACAAAGCCCTGTCTCGCTACATGTCAATCCTTAGGGTGCCAAGACGCGAGGGATAGCCCTATCTGAATGCATCCGCCCACATCCGCCGAAGGCTGCAAAAAAACACATCGAATCGAGATACCGCGCGCCAGAAAGGTACTGAGGCGTCAATACCGTAGTCGTGATATCAACATGTATTCTTTCATGCCCACCGGTACGTCTTGAGTATGAATAGTACTGGCTCAACAACCGCAGGCGTTTACAGACCAAGCACCTCATAAATAGCTGCAGGATGTGTGTACATCCCGCGACCGTGACTTCGTATTTCGCGTGAATCAGGTCAGGTGCAGAGGTCGCCACGTCGTCCTACTCAACAGAGCATTAGGTGATATACATTTCATTATCAGCGTTTTGCCCAGTAGGATGGGAGTCACTCGATGCCACGCACCACCTATGTGTTCATACGATTTGCATCTGAACTATGTATACTGTCCGGTCCACGCCATTCAAGACGCGAGCACGGTTCGGAGCACCCGACTCGTCGGACGAGTGTTTGCCTCATTCTCGCAGTGCCGAGAGGGCATTAACCATGAATTCACAGACTGAGAATCTGAGGACGTGGTTGCGATCTTCCGGTCTGAAGATATAAACCCCTTGGACGGCCGTTTTAAGGAAGTCTGGAGCGTACAGCTTGCGTGGAGATACGGACCGCGTGGCATGAAGATGCCATCTTCTCTATAGTATATGAGACTAGACAACACACTGCCTATCTGCAGAGAAAGAAGTCCCTCAAACCTCAAGCCTGGCCAGTCATAAAACGAAGTTGCATGAAGACAAACCCGTGGCCACTCA